TTTCATTTTTCCATATTTTATCGGAGAAATTGGACGGAAACGTTTTCGTTTGTTGTGTAAACACTTCTAAAACGGCATCCAATACTGAAGTGTAGATACGTAATTATCGAATTTTTAATTATATATTTGATATATCTCTTCTAGAATTCAAATTTTAACTTAGTGTAGTAGTGTAGTGGTTAAGTTTATATCATTACTTTGAAACTGAAAGTTTTGATTGAATCGATAATTCAGTTGTTGAGCATTTTTTTTCAAATTCGCAAATTTATAATTCAGAAAAATTCAAATGTGGTCTGGAAAAAACTATATACAGGGTGATTCACTTTTTCGATTTGATCTCGTCAAAATAATGTTATTTTGAGGTATACACTTTTTCTTCCAAATGCTTCCTTTTAGAGATATAAACTATTGAAAAAACATTTGTTTTTATTTATTTTATCTTAAACTATGAAAGCCATTTGTTTTAAATTTAGTATGAAGTGTACGAATACAAAGCTCTATCGGTTTTACATTTTACTATAAACCGTTTTTCTTGTTACATTTATCACCTTGGTGCACTATTATGTATTAGTGTTTAAAAATGGTTTTTAAATAACTACTTACATATTTTATTATTGTATAGTATAATACGTTAGTATTAAAAAATTACATAAATAAATAGGTAAAAGTAATTGAATCGTTTAGTATATAACTACGGTCGAATCCAGTTCATATTTAATATTTGGTAGCAGCCGAACATATGTTATGAAATACAAGCCTCTTGTTTTTGTTATGTAGCAATTAAATGCACAGTACGTGTCATAAAACTAAGACTTCTGTCGTTCTACAAACAGTGACAGAAACCCTATAAACGCAAAATATAATGATACTTTATCGTCTCCAAAAATTCTTCTTTAATATTTTCTTTTTAAAAATATTGTTAGTGGCTTCTAGTATTAGTTTGACTTACTATTGAAACCTTATGCTATTGTGTATTGTACCGTATTATTTTACTTTTCTTTCTTGTGGCGTGGCCAATCCATTGCGATGATTTGAACTTTTGTCTCAATGTTTCACGGAAAATTTTACTTTGCATCGTTATTCTAGAAAGTCGCACATTTAAAAAATCGTCACTGACATTGAAAAACATCGCACTCAAATAACAATATCACGAAAACTAAATGAGATATCAAAAATCCAAAAACATAAGGTTACAGAGGAGGTCATGTGCAACGCAGTGCTGCCAACCACATATCACTAAATATCTCTATTAGCGTGTAATTAAAAATGTTCGGTTATTTTCTGAATAAACCTCGTATTACTGTTTTATTTTATACACTGTATATCATTTGTTCTTGTATCTTCTATATACTTTTAATTCTGAAGAGTTTTTGAAACCACATGAATAATTTTTATGATTCCAAAATCTATATCCAAAAAAGGCTTTCATTACTTTTAAAGAGAAAAATATTATTCATAACAAACTTTGCACCTCATAAAAAATTTTGTAATTAGCATGGGATAAATAATTCAGAGAAGTATTTGCCGCAATCACGTGAAACTTTGTAAATAACAACTTTGGTGTGAGCGATACAGACATACAGGATGTCCCAAAAATATGTACCAAAATTTTAACTCGTTAAAAATAACAACTTTTGTCTAAAATTTCTTATTGAAAAATTTTCGATGAATTCAATAAATTCTACCTATATCGTTTTAAACACTACTTTTTTTAGTTGTATGGGTAAATTTGAAAAACTTTGTTTATTTTATTACTGTTTGTCTAGCACTTGACATAAAAAGCAATACCTAACTAAACAAATGCACATAAACTTATCAAAATCGTTGTTATTTGTTTTGATAACAGAGGTAGTTTGTTTTGGGTGGGATTAAAAAACATCTAATTTTATTTCTGGTGTTGTGTCAAAGTAATGTACTGAATAGGTATAAATATCTAAATTCAGATGATATTTAGTTTTACTAGAAACTTGTGAAAAGTAATTACCTTTTTATGTTTGCAGACTGTCGGTTTCCAGATTTATTGACAATAAATCAGTCATGTGTTGAGAGCGTTTCTTTCGGTGTCACTATGATATAATAAGATTTTTGGCATTGAATTGTAATCATACTGGAACGTTGATTGGCACCTATTTTCCGATCAGAGATACGCTTCTTATTTTGTACGTTGGAATTAAAATATTATCGCAATTATTATTTTAAAACGACTATACTACAGGGTCTGTTCAGAAAATAACCGAACTTTTTGATATACGCGGTAATGGAGATGTTTAGTGATACGTGATATCAAACTCTGGGTCATATGCAATGTTGCAAATGGTTTTCATGATTAAAAAATGGCCAGGCAATTGAAGGTGATCCTCGACCAGGGAGGCCTTTGACCTTAACTGATGTCCCCCACGTTCAGAAAGTCAAAGATCTGATGTATACAAATCGCCGATTGACTGTCAGAGACATTGTAGAAGAGGTTAGCATCTCAATTGCGTCATGCCATGAAATTGCAAAATTGAACAGGTATCGCGTTGCAGCAAAATTAGTTTCTCGTGTAGACGTTTGTGGAAAACTCGCTGAATAATCGATGACGATGAAACATTCATTCGAAGGATCATAACGGGACACGAAGTCTGGATTTACGGCTACGACATTGAGACAAAAGTTCAATCAGTCATCACAATGGATTGGCAAAGGAAGAGATTAATAAAACAATTATAATTAATGATTAATTTTGGTTGTTTCAGACCATGGGGTTCAAAAATTGGAGTAAGACTGCAGAACTTGCTATGTGTTTTGGTTCCTTGGAAGGGACCTGAAAATACTACTTCTGAAATCATTATGTAAGTACACCTATGATTCAAATTTCGGTTTATTCATCGCATATTTAATTATTTCTTTCATACCACCACTTACCCAATTTGCATAATTTATATTTCCATATCGTTAACTGCATCTATACTGACTTTATCATTTCACCAAAATAATTGGGTTGTGACGGGCAGAAAGTATATTTTACCACTGGAAAAGCTTTCATGTCCAATATATCACTCAACACAAGAGCACACATTTTAATACAATAGAGTGGTAAAATAAACTACCACTGTCGATTTCTTTCGCTGCTTTCACGAACGGCTGATTCACGAATATTGAATAAATTCACTTTTCTTCAGTTGCGGAAAAAAGAATTACGTTCTTCCTATTTCACAAAAAAATGGATATGGATAAAAGACATTGATTTCCCTAAGGCAATTTTTCTTAATGTTTCAAAACTATAATCGTTTCTTGTCCTTAGCATTTCATATTTTTGGTGTTCCATTGTGGATTCATTTATTAAATTTACTTCGTCTAAATACTGATTATATATAAAAAAGTGAATATAATCTGCATTTAAGTAATTTAAGAGAATTTTAGAATTTTAATTTGCGCACATCACGATAATTAAATTGGTTGACTGAGTACAAGTGCTATAAATTAATTATTTAAACTTAAATATAGTGGTAAAATATTTTAATTTCTGAAACTGGCCATTCATCCATGATGAGATAAAAATAGTGAAATTATGTATGCAGCAAATATACAACTATGAAAATTAATGATTATTGCTTTACTTCAGTAGATGAATATCAGCACATCGTAATGTAATAATTATTATTATTAATTGAATTGGTAAAAATAAGTTAAATCTCTTTTAGCTAAATTTGTTGAATTATTTCATAAGAATTGTATGAAAAATTGAAATACATAGTGGAAATAAAAATTCGGCGGTAAATATTATACGAAATCCTATATCGAATAAAAGTTAATTCACGTTTGATTAAATCGAAAGTGAAATTTGTGACAAAAATCTGTTAAGTAAATGAATATTGTTCAAAAAATTCAAACCGTTGCTTAGATACAATAACTTAGGAAATATTATTTTTAAATTTCAGTAAAACCGCTCTTATAAGAAAATAAACAATTAGAGGTGTTTTTGTTGTTCAATTTGTCATTTAATTTATTTTTGGAATGAAACATAATTATTTTAAAAAATCTAGCAAATAATACCAATTTTCAATTTGTAAAAAAGTTACAAAACCCATTATTATATTTTCTTACTAAAGTTTACCTTCTACTACTACTCCATTCATTTTCTACTCGTTCGAAAACAATCAGTTTCAAAATAGAATTGCCTGTCAAGGAAAGAACTGAAATATAAATGGAGGAATCGTGTGTTTTACAAACGCCTCGTCTCAAACCCTCCGGGGGAAATTGTGTCGATTTTTTATATCAATAAACGTTTTTCTTTCCACCTGGAAATTCGCAAATTCCACTGCGATAACCTACTTCAAAACCCTTCACTGGTTCGCAGCGGCTAGTGGTTTAACACGGATGAGATCTATTGACATTTTTATACGTACTTAATTTAGAATTTGAAAGCTTCGCAGCCTGATATAAGTAGTGGTAATATTTTAAATATTTGTCGAACATTAGCTTTGTCTATCATTGGCGCACTTCGCTACACAATCTCTGCGGACCCATCAAGGAATGAGATCGAACGTCTCCCCTGGTACCCTGCAGTTCAGTAACCAGGAACGGAATCTGGCCAGTAATGTACGATAAAACTTATTTACGTTATTTACAATCAAATATCAATAAATCCGTTTTAATAATTCGGAACATTGTAAAAAATTTTCAGTACATCGCTCCGCACGTAGACTTTCATTGTCGATCATTGTCCAATTCTGCGGTGAAGATCCCAAGGGATAAAATAAGATCCTAGAAGTTTCTCAAATTCTCTCAAGGAGACCCCTAGAGTCCCAGCACCGAAGACAATATTCAAAGAGCTCGGTAAAAATGCTAGTTCTCCATTTAAAACAAAAAAAAATGCTAAAAATAGAGGAAATGGTTAAAAAATTTTCATTTAGGGCTCAGGCCCTTTTCAGGCGCGATTTCAGCGACGACGGGGCCGCGACCCGCTCGTCGCCGGTCCTCCTCGCTTCATTCTGCTCTGCGGATTCTCTGCCACACGGTAGGGTCCGTTCAGTGTCGTTGACGGCAGCGCTGTGTAACGTTCGCGGCATTCGAGAGTGCTGTGCAGCACCTGTACACACCATTCACCGCCGAGCAGTGGCATGTAAACATTAAAAAATTCGAACTGACCGCGGGCCACACTTCGTGATACTTACCAGTTATCGAACGTTTGCGTAAAGTGTGTATCGGGGTTACTCAATCGCAGTGGATTTGTTTTTTGTTTTTTTTTTTGGATGTGTTTGGTTCATGTGCGGATCGCTGTGTGGGAAATATGAAACAGTGACTTAATCGGTTCGCAGGTAAACCTTTCAAAATAGCACGACCCTAATGCCGAGCTCTTGTTAACTACCGACAACATAGCGACAATGTATTTTTATTTTTGAGGCGGACGTGTTTGTGATGTTGCAAAATTTTGCTAGGTGGCAAGTGTTATAAATATGGGGCAAGTTGCAGCAACCGCGATGTGCTGTGTTTCCTGCTAGTTATTATAAATATTGGCAAAACGTCAAACGGTCTAAATTTAGAGGATTATTCGAATTTATTTTGCAATAACATAAACTGATACCAATTGCCTCCTGTTTGTAATTTGCTTGCTACACGTGCTCAGCTGTACGAGACAAATTCGATTCCTTGAATGTGTTTTTACGGTACCGGCAAGGTTGTCGCAAAAAACAGGAGCAGTACAAAAAACACTTTAAACGTTTGATAGATTAGGTGGTTAGATCAGCAGGCTTTATTTTAATTAGCATTGATTGAAGCATTGGATATTTGTAATCGATAAATGCAAATAACAAAACGCATTCCCTTAAAAACATCCATTGCCGGTTTTGGTACTACCTTTTTGTTTTTTATTTTGAATAATGGTTAGGTCCTGTCGGGGTCCAGTTTATTGATTTAAGTAAGTAGTTATTATCTTGCAGGGTAACGAGTACGACTATCTTGTACGCACTATTGTTTTTATAACAGATTATTATGGAAATTCGAATATGTACTTGAAGATTACTGTTTTTATCTTTTCGGGCCTTGTAAAGGGATATCTTTTATAAGTGGCTGTTTATTACATCAGATTGGTTTTAACACGAAATGATAAAAGATATTCGGTTCTATGGGGAGTCTACATTATGTCTTCTACCTTGTAGTAGATCTTGTTTGGTAAGACTGAGAATCACTGATATACAAAAAGTACGCAAAAGTAAGCATCTGTTAAGAAGTGTGTAAACATGAGAAAGCACTATCAGTTATAACTTTTTTTCAAGGTACAACAAAAAAGTTGCAATAAACCGAATATTTTGTTATTAATTTTGACCTTTATACCTACACTTCCTTTTGAATATCGATTTTTGAACAAAAAACAGTAGTCAAATTAATTATATTTGTCAAGATAGAATATAACCCCTCACAAAATCCATGGAAAATGGGTCCGAGTCGATTTTGCTGAAATTGCAGTATGTTATAGTTTTTGACTTTCTGATTAAAAGTTGTCATGGGCCCAAAGTGATCCTATGAATATTTTCAGATATAAAGAGGGGGAAGTATGCGATTTTGGAAGTCAAGTCAAGGTCATTTAATTTGAATTAATCTCAATTCAGGTCCCACAGGTATAGGGCTAAGCTATCCCCGAATTCAGTTCCCCTAAAAAAAACTTATATACGCACTGGTTGAAATTCAATGCAAGCCTTTTCTTTAGTTTGATCTTGAAATGACCTTGAATTGACTTGAAGGTGACATTTAGGGTTACGCTATCTCCAGAGACAGATTCTGCGAGCCCAAAAACCTATACACTCACTGGTCAAATTTCAATACAAGTCTTTTCTTCAGTTTAACCTTGAAACGACCTTTACCTGACCTCCAGGTGACCTTAGATAGCTAAGGTATCCCTGAATTCAAGTTCAGCGATCGCAAAAGCATTGTACTGGTCTAAATTCATTACATGCCTCAGTTTTTGAATCCATCAACTTTAAACTTCGTGAGGCTTACTCAGGCCTACAGCTAAAATCACATACTTCCCCCCTCTTTATATCTGAAACTATTCATAGGATCACTTCGGGCCCATGACAAAAACTGTAACACACTGCAATTTCAGCAAAATCGACTGGGACCCATTTTCCATTGATTTTGTGCGGGGTTCTTTATTAATAAATTTTTTTTAATTCAAATTTCAAATTATCACATTTAAGTGCTGATTATTGCCAAATTCTGCTATTAAATCATATGACCTTGCCTCAAACTCTCAAAGAGTCTTTTTTCCTGCACACTATTAATAATTGTTCTTTAAATTGCATTTTATGATATGATTAACTTTCTAAAAATAATAAAGATAAAAGAGATTGTTGCCTTATGAAATTACTCTGTATTTACACGTGATTTTCTCTGGAGCCTACTTTTTGCCGGGTCATCTTTTAGCAAGGCACTAAAACTTGCTTGTAAAATTAACGACGGCATTTTTTCTGTATTTAGGTTACTTTTAAGTGTGTTAATATAATACATAACACTACTTAACGCAACTACAAAGTAATAATAAAACAAATCGAACGTTTGCGTTACATTTTAGAGAATTATGCGTATACAGCTTATATAACGTTATTTGTTATCGTTATTTCTTCGTTAACGATTACAATTACAGATAATTTAAGGTAAACAACGGTTACAACTTATACCGGTTGGCTTTCTAAATTTATAATCAATAACGCAAATAAATTTAGGTTTCTCCCACAAGTTTATAAGTATGACATAACGGTTATACACTTAGAAGAGAAAAATGCGATCGATGTATTGCCAGTTTTGTTCAACTTGAACTTGGTATTGTTAAAAAAAATGAAAAAAGACTCTTTAGGCATCGTAATCCACTGTGACTTTATGTTGTCATGCTGTTCGCGGTAAGATATTCCCACGACTCTCTAACCTGATTATAATGACGTATTTTATCGTGACAAAGAAAAAAGTCGCAGAAAAAGTTATGGTATTAAAACGCGTTAAAGGATAGTATTCACTTTTCGCATTGATCTTCTGATGTATTCTGTGTAACTTTGTGGAATATCTACTCGTATATACTTTTATACAGATGATATTTTATATACTCATCACTGATAAAATACATTAATAAAGTCCTATTAAAATACCGAAACTACTTAAGATACCACTAAGTGTTAACTAGTTTAGCCCAATTATATAAAAGGAGAAAGTTTTGAAGCAACTTGAAAACATATGTGCCAATTTTTAACAACCCATTCGTTGATACCGCAATACTTAATTATAAGTGTTCGCTATAAGTCGTTATTGCATAAATTTAAAGACTTCAAGTAAATATTTATTTTTCTATGCAGAAAAATAAATATCTGCAGTGTTACGATGTTGTAACACTGCAAATATATTAAGAATGTAAAATTAAAGGTCTTAATTGGTTTCTGTCACGGTATTATTATTAATGTGTTTAATAATTGATATTACTGAACTGAGGAAATATTTCGTTAAAAAACATTGAAATTTCAGGATTCAGGTGAATAGTGCATACTAATTTGAGCAATTAGCACAAGCGGACGAGCCACTAAACAGTTCACACATAAATTAGCGTTATACTGTTTTGGAACAATTAGAAACATGCTCGCAAGTGCAAAAAAAAAACTTTATTTATAACTATATCCTTATGTATGTGGAGATAAGGGCACTAAAATAAATGTTATTATCTTTTAAGCAACAGGAAAAGCGTGACTAAAAATTAGTTTCCTGCGATTCTGGGGGTTAACAAACGATGTGGCCCTGAAAGATGCAAACGGTTATCAAAGGGATTTTTGGAAAAAATGTAATTGATAAACTTGGACAAAAAACAGTCGATAAAAGCAGAAGAAAATTATATAAATGAAACATATGAAATTGCAATTACAGTGACAGAAAAACATTCGTCTATTATTTTTTGTCTCCGTGCACACAAGTTTTATTTCGACCACCTACTACTAATCATGTTTTCATAATACTTACAGATTAATAGATCACTCTCTGCCAGTAGATACAAAGCAACGTTTTGTGCCAGTAGGCAGTGACAAATACTAAATAGTAAATTTTTAAAGTTTTTATCAAAAAATTCACCCCGTATATGAAATTATTCATAGTACAATCATACCTATAAATTGTATGTCCAAACAGTATGTGATATAATATTCTTATCGTTAATCACACACTATTATAGCGTTTTCTAATAGTTTCCTGAATGGAACTGAAAATAGTCGTTGAATTAGTCAACATTTGAGTTTATCGGTATTCAGTACTATGTATAACTAGTAAGGTATTTTTATTGAATTCGTTGTATAAACAGGGAAGGTAATTTGTAAATAAACAAATATAAAGTAGGTTCGATAAGACTTATCGATTCAAGAAGTGACTTAAAATACTTGTGGTAGACTTCCAGAAGCACTTGATAAAATGACCTGAAATACAAATATCTATCGTTACTTTTACGGCTACTCCAGTTTTACTAAAAAAAATTACATCAATTCTCTTTTATTATTAATTATTTGTGTAAGATAACGTAAATTTAAGCAAATATATTCATTAATTTGGGATATATACTTGTTTACGAAGGTAATTTGAGTGAATGTAGTTAAATGTTTTTAATGTATGTTTTGGAATTTGTTTATTTTTGTTATAAAAACGTTTTAGTTTCGCTAGACTTTCCATTAATAAATGACCATGATCGTGTGGTACTTTTACCTTGTGAAATTATGTTTACATACAATATTCATTATAATATCAAATAATAATTAAATGGTTATTAAAATTGGAAAAAATATGAGTACTAACAAATCACCTTCCACACGAAGTAAATGTGAAATATCCTATTATATTATATAACAAATCTTCGAGGACAAATATTGTATAAATAAATTTTGGTAAAATAGTAGATACAGCGTTGAAAAACGAAACTAAAAAATGTAGATTAAAGAAGCTTTGTCTGGTGACTTAACTAATTGTAATTAAAGGTGAAATATACTGTATAAGATTATGTCAACTAATGGGGAATATCACTAAGAGCCCAATGTTTCGACGCTGCTGAATATTTTGGGATAATTTAATAGTTCATTTAATTCTGAATTGTATTCCTAAAAGAAAATCGATTTTGTTCGAAAAAACTCATGTTTGGTTTATTTTTTTAGTGTAAAATAAATTTACCACAAAGTTAAATTCAAAACAATTCTAAAACTCTTGTTTCGCAAAAAAAAATGAAGATTGAAAAGTAAAGTAGGTGTGATAAAAATAATTACGAGTTTTGTGAAGAAAAATATAGCGAGCACTTTTAAGTTAGGAT